CCCACCCGTCAGTAGGAACCCGGCCGTTGGTCGATTGGCGGATCGATTTCCGGGGGTAATAATCCCTCCCCCCCCCCAAAAAAAAAAAATCATACTAATAAGGTCACTCAATCCACGACTGTTTGTGGCTGTGCGCAATTGCCTGCCGATTTCCCCCCCCCAGCCCTGCCCCGCCCCACCTCCCCCATAGAATACAGTCACTACACTTCACAATATATTCTTTTGAGGCGTCTCGACGACGCGACGAGGCGCCGCAGCAAACGCGAGGATTATCGTCATTAATCATTATTCTCTTTTAAGATTATAGTGTTGCCGTCTGCCGAGAAAAAACACAGGACACGCCCTCCGATTTACCGGTCAGCGATTTTACCGGGAAGCGCTCTGAGAGGTTTGGGCGACGCGGCGAAGGGAAGAGAAGCTCTTCCTTTAACGATGGAGCCCTTTGATCCCGGGTCTCGGAGCTCTCGAGGACACCTTCCAGGAGCTGCTGAAGTCCCCGGAGAGGATCCGATGTCTCGAGACTGACCTCAAACAGGACCCACGATCTCCGACGACTCCTGTGTCCAACCCGAACATCTGAACGGTATCTCTCAACGCTCTCTCTCTCTCTCTCTCTCGCGCGCGCTCTCTCGAAGCCAAGAGGAGGGTCTTGAAGGAGGCGAGGGAGGGAGGAGAGCGAGGCAGAGGGACTGCGGGGTGGAGTTCCAGAGGGTGGGGATGGAGTTGGGGCAGAAGGCCAGCCCAATAGTGGGGGGGCGAGTGAGACGGTGCGGTGGTGGGGGTGGGACGGGGGTGGGACGTGGAGCAGGAAGAGGGAGCGGGCCGGGTGGTAGGGGTTAGGAGGTGGCAGAGGTTGGGGGGTGGGGAAACGGGGGGGGGGAGAAAGACCAAGGAGGGCTTGAAGGTGAGGACCAGGATCTTGACCTGAATCCTCTATGGGATGGGAAGCCGGTGGAGTCAGGCGATTGGGGGTGGGGAGGTGGGGGAGTTTGAGGGGGGGGGGGGGGGCGATAGGGTCACGGGGAGAGCCTGGTGCGGGAGAGGACACAGACTGATTAAGACCCCGTTTCAGTTTGGGGGGGGGGGTCAGTTGGGGTTGGGGGTGGTTTAACGTTAGCTGTGAGACCGTTTCAAGACACAGGCGATTCCAACAGCGTCAGACAATCGAGTTGTTCCCCCCCACACCCCCACCCCCTACCCCCCACCCCTACCCCCCCACCCCACCGTGAAGTTGGCTCAGAGACACATACCAGGGCGCCAAGGGCTGCCTTTAGCGCCCCCGAGTGGCAGATCACTATTATTATTATCGTCATCGGTAGCGAACGCTGCCGTTGACGCTTCTAATTGTTCCGCACAGTCGTTTCGAGGAATAACAGCTATTTTATCCGTCCACCTTCGCGCTCTGGGACCCTACTTGGTGTGCGGGGGGGGGGGGGGGGGCGGCGGTCTTATCGCGCGAGCGCGAGACCCGGGTTCGATTCCCCCGGGCGGGACGGGTCAGGGGCGAAACCTTGGCCGAGTTTCCTTACGCCGCACGCCTCTCCGTTGACCCGGCGAGGAGCAGGAACTTGGCGGTTAAATCGATCGGCGGATCGCTTTCCGGGGGTGGGGTGGGGGTGGGGGTGGGGGTGGTGGTGGGGGCAATAACCCCTCCGGAAAAAAAAAAAATAATAATAATAATAATCCTTGCATTTGATATAGCGCTTTTCACGTCGGGAGAGGACGTCCCAAAGCGCTTCACAGAACACACTGTGAAGTGAATTGACTGTATGTTTGTGGGCGAACGCGGCGGCCAATGCGCACAGCGATGTCCCACAGACGGTCGTAGATAAAAAATAAAAGTAATACCAATTCCGTCCCTCCACCCAACGGCTGTCCGTGGGGGAGGTTTAGCTGCCGTTCGCCCACGGAACGAAAGGGAAATTCACACCAAACGGACTTATTAACACTCTCCCCCCCCCCCACCACCTCCTCCTCCACCCCCCCCCCCCCACCCCGATCGGAAAAGCGTCCCGATTCCGTGAGCGAGCGCTCGCGCCCGAACCAGAAGGAAAACAACCTCGACGGTGTGCGTGTTTTATTTTAAAATCAAACCCTCGGCCGATACGGTTTTCAGAGCTAAAACCCTTATGGAACAAGAGGACACGGGAGGTGGTGAACGCACAGTCACTGCACTTTACGGCGGGCACTGTCCCGTGAAGCGCTTCGAGACGCCGCGGCGGCGCGATGAGGCGCTGTACCAACATGAGGCTTGTTAACCGTCCTCGCGTTAACGGACAGACAGACACACGGAGAGAGAGGGAAAGAGGGAGAGAGAGAGGGAGAGGGAGAGAGACGGCGATTACTGTAGCGTTCGGGGTTTCTCTGTTGGGACCAGGAATGGGTTGCGCTGGTGACGTTAACGGAGGTCGAAGGGGAAAGACGGAGGTTGTGGGGGTGAGGTGGGGGGGGGAGGGGGGGGGGGGAGGGAGGAGGGAGGGAGGCGGAGGGGTAGAGGGAGAGAGCGATGGGAGTTTCAGAGACCGAGCAAACATTTTGTAGTGTTGGTCGGGGACAGAGA